ACCCTTGGAGAAATTGTTAGCTTCGCCACAATGACTGATAGGATCTAAGCAGATTGTCCTTTAATGATCCTACATGAATTTAATGGCATTCTATAGCTACTAACAATTTGCATAAGTATTTTGGTGGAATAGATCAAACATAAAGCCATTTTTTTACCAGGAAAAGTATATGCTGACACTAAACTAGTAAAGAGAAGAAAGATTTGGTTCAACCAATGTAGTAGTAATAATCTGTCTAAAACTTCAGAGGGAAGAACATATTTAATGTAGAAGATTTAAGATTGTATTGCAATTATCATTAGTTGTCAGGGATGTAAATTTATTGCATGAAAATTGAAATGATCAAATGATTTTAGGAAATATATCTTCACAAGTTGAATTTCAGCTGTTGCTACAAGAATTTTCACATTCCGGGGGTCTATTGGAAACCACCTCTCTACCCTCAAGGTAGGGGTAAGATCTGCGTACATACTACCCTCCCCAAATCCCACTTGTGGGATTATACTGGGTTTGTTGTTGTTGTATTCAGGAAAGTACCTCACCTGGAAAATTTCTTCACAGTGTTTTGAATGTGTTTCTGAGAAATACCTAAATCCATTAACAACCTTGACATAAAATATGCAGCATAAGATTGACTGGAAAATAATGACCACATAAAATAATCCCAGTGAACAATTAAGTTAATATCTAGTCTTCCTTTTCTTGAGGTAGGAAAATTTTTGTTTGAGCATGGGATGATTCCATATGTCTTCTTATTTTGTTTGCATTCCTCAATTCTTCCTCTTTTGTTTGCTTCCTCAATACCTCCAATTTCTTCAAATGCAACACTACTCTCGCTAACAGAAACAGGAAGGAAAAAAAGTACACGTCTTTTATTTGCACATAAATTTTCAATGACCGAATAGATATGATTTTAACTGCAAATGATATGACCAAAGGGAGAAAGAAAAAGACAGTTTGAATCAAAGAAGAAAGATGGTGACAGCAAGTTTATGGTGCATACAAACTGATCCCTCAAGCCCAGGGGCGGAGCCAGAGTGTGGAATGTGGGTTTGGCCGAACCCAGTAGTTTTTGTTCATACTCTATATTTGTCTTAAAAAAATCATTCAATATATACAAATTATTAATTAGGAACTCAGTAACTTAAAAGGATTACAATACTGAACCCACAAGCTTCAAATACTGACTCCGCCTCTGCTCAAGCCGACCATCTATGACTAAGGTTGTGGAAATGTTAGAAGGGAACCTAGAGCTTTTGCAGATTCCTCCCAAGCCTTACCTATATTCTCCCTCAAGATCAGAGGTAGATTCATCAATAGTAGAATTGACCTAGTCTTTCTTTGTTGATCTGTCAGTTGTTATTTGCTTAGTCTTATATTGTTGTGAACTTTTAGCAAAGGCTGGTACTGTTGCCCCTATTTTTCTTCGACTGTTCAATTTATTACTCCCTCTGTCCCGTTTTATGAGACACTTTCGTTTTTAGTTTATTCCAAAAAGAATGACACCTTTTAATATTTACTTATTTAGTACTCTCTCCATTCCAATTTATGTGATGTTGTTTGACTGGTATTGGGTTTAAGAAAGAGATTGGGATGCATGGAGTACTTATATCTGCAAGAAATAACAGAGAAAGTGGAGAACTATTAGATATTTATATTTGGGTGGCAGAGTAGTATTAATAAACAGTGTTTGCATTCTTTGCCTAATGCCTACTTATGTGATGTCTGCATTTCCTATTCCAGCTAAGGTGACTAAGACCTTAGACAGAATTAGAAGAAAATTTCTGTGGGAAGGAAATAAAGATAAAAAGCCTTTCACTTAGCTAACTCATGCATCATTACCAAGTATGTCAACAATGTTTCATAGTGCTTTCTCATATCTGACTCATATCTTAGATTCTTAGTTAAGGTGATTTACTAACATTGGCATCGGAGCAGGAAGGGGAGCCTTGGCATAACTGGTAAAGTTGCTGCCATGTGACCATGGTTCGAGCCGTGGAAACAGCCTCTTGCAAAAATGCATGGTAAGACTGCATACAATGGACCCTTGTGGTCCGGCCCTTCCTCGTACAGCAACTTAGTGCACCGGGCTGCCCTTTTTTTTTGGCATTAGAGCATACTATATGTCAGCCAATAATTTGAGTAGGTTCCATCAAATGAAGAACTGTGATAGAGACATGAAATGTACACAAAGAGGATTTATTTTGTACTTACAGATAGTGAAGGAAAATGTGCTTGGGATCTCAGTTGGTACTGCAGCTAATATAGTCTGACTTCAGTTCTTGCTGCTGCATGTTATTGCATTGTATGTCAAGAATGATAAAGCGTGAGAGAGATCAAGACATATAGGGTAGCCCGATGCACTAAGCTCATGCTATACATGGTTCATTGGAAGGTTAGACTCTACTTTGAGAGAGCGCTAGCTGCTACCTCGTTGAAAGGCTCTATACATCTGCCATTTGTACGTCAATGCATTTCTTTAGGCAAAGTCATGTTTTTGCCTCTTTCCTGGTGATATGATGATGGCCCAAAACAATCAAATGAGTAAAAGGGCAGCCCGGTGCACTAAGCTCCCACTATGCGCCGGGTCCCGGGAAAGCCGGACCACAAGGGTCTATCGTGCAGCCTTACTTTGCATTTCTGCAAGAGGCTATTTCCACCCTCAAACCCGTGACCTCCTGGTCACATGACAGCAACTTTACCAATTACGCCAAGGCTCCCCTTCAGACGATCAAAAGGAGTGAATTCCAGATATAGCTTTGAGGTATTTCCTGACTGACTCTGATCTATGTTGGATGAGTAAAACTCTTTAAGTTCACCATAACTAGGTCAACTTTAGCTAAATCTGCCATCCACACCAAGAGTATCCATTAAACTTGTCTCAAGAAACTATCATCTTCCATATATATGTGATCATGTTACAACATAACAAAGCTCAAACAACAACAACAGTCCACTAGGATCCCACTAGTGGGGTCTGGGGAGGGTAGAGTGTACGCATACCTTACCCCCTACCCCGAAGGGATAGACTATAGAGAGGCTGTTCCCGGGAAACCCTCGGCTCAGAGACAATAGATCCGTTATAACAAAGCTCAAACAGAAAGGAAATGCTCACATTTGATCAACTGATATGATCACACTCATTATCTTGCATACTGAAACATACATAGGTGATATAGGACAGGTGGTAGCTGGTTGCACTTCTCGGTTTTGTACTGTATTCAATTGAAGCTCCAAGAATCAAGTACTCCAGTTGTCCCATTTGTTGGATTCTTTGCATTTTGAGAGATAATATTAAATAATTATATCAAAATTTAAATTAAAATATAAAAATTCAATAAATATATTACAAGTTAGTCAATGTGTCACAAGTTGTAAGTGTGTCATATCAAAAGAGAAAAGACTACCAGAAAGGGAAATATAACCATCATTTTGGATCAAAGAAAATATATTTTTATGGGTTGAATTTAAGCTGTTGCTATAATGACTTCTACTTCCAACATACATAGAAGTTCCTGATTTGGAAAATTCACTCAGTGTTTTAAATGCTTTTTTTCTCTTAGTCTTGCCTTCTGAGAAATTTCCAAAATCCACTAACAACATTATAGGTCAAATATATGGAAAAAGACTGAAGTCCTTAGACGCTGCCCATCACCTAAGAAAGACGGGTAAATGCAGAAAATAATTGAAAATTGTTAAGACTTGCATTTACTAATTAATACTTAGAAATTAGATAGTATTTAGTAGGTAAATTAACACCCCAATTCGTGAAAGAATCGTCGTATGTTGGCTCCCCTGTCATCTGGTCTCCAACTTCCTTGACCTTCCGGCACTGGACAGGCATGAGCCCTCATACATGGTCGTAATATCTTCACATGGTATCAGAGCCAGACTCATTGGTCCCCAGCGTTGTGTTTGTCAATGTCAGGCCACCGTTACTCACGCATTAAGTCCTGAGTGTGTGGGGGAGACTATTCCAATGTCAAGTCTTAGTCGTACAATTCTTGGCCATCCATCTCTTTTCCGGGATTTACTCTTTCTACTAGCTCTTCAATGATTCAATTGCCCATGGCGTCGGGTTGTTACGAAGATTCTTCTTATCGTACTCTCTGGTGGGAAGCTTTCAGTCCCTAATCCCTCATTCAAACCCGGGTATGTGAGTAAGAGCAAAATGTTAAATTCATTTTGCAAATTAAGGACTCTGAAGGGGAGCCTTGGCGTAACTAGTAAAGTTGTTGCCATGTGACAGGTCACAGGTTCGAGCCGTGAAAACAGTCTCTTGCAGAAATACAGGGTAAGACTGCGTACAATAGACCCTTTTGATCCGGCCCTTCCCCGGACCCCACGCATAGCGGGAGCTTAGTGCACTGGGGCTGCCCTTTTCCCAAATTAAGGACCCTGAATCTTGGGCATTAACCTTTATGTAGGTGACATTCTCTGTTTTGTACTGTATCCAATTGAAGTTCCAAGAATCAAGACCGTCCTTCATCCCAATTAGCTTGTAACTTAATTTATTTAGTCTGATTAGCTATAAAAGGGCAACCCGATGCACTAAGCTCCCGTTATGCGCGGGGTCCGGAGAAGGGCCGGACGACAAGGGTCTATTGTACGCAGCCTTACCCGGCATTTCTGCAAGAGGCTGTTTCCACGGCTTGAATCCGTGACCTCCTGGTCACATGGCAGCAACTTTACCAATTACTCCAAGGCTCCCATTCTCTGATTAGCTATATAAGTTGCAATTTATCTTACATTAAATAAAAGGAATATCAAAACAGTCTCTTCACAAGTCTTGACAATGAAGTCTAATTATTGCTGCAAGACTCTAAGTCTTTCCATTAACAGGAAGGTGATTAACCTCACCGCACTTAATATACGTTCATCACAATTTTTCCAACTCCACTAACAATTAAAAGCAGTGAACAACTGAGTTCATATCTTGTCTTCATTTTCTTGAGATGGGAATTTGTTTGTTTGATCAGTGGCCAGTGGGAAGATTTAATATGACTTTCACTTCTTTTGTATGCTTTATTCTGATCTGTTACTTAGTTCAGACAAAAGGCAGAAGTGATTCAACTTGTCCAAAGTCATTTTCATGTGGAAATCTTACTGACCTGAGCTTTCCATTCACTCTTTCCACACTATCTGACTGTGGATTTCTGTCCATGTCTGTTTGTGATGCTAAACCATTTCCAAGAATCCAACTGCTTCCTGGAGGAGATTGGTATTATGCTTTAGGAAAGCCGTATAATTATACAGTTTGGCTTCGGGACACCAAACTTGAAGCAAATTTAAGGCAACACAAGTGCCAGGTTTTCGACGAAAATTTCTCCCTTCCAAACTCTCCTTCTATTTCTTTCAATATACTTAACCTTCAGAACTTCTTCAAATGCAACAAGAGTAGTAATAATACCCTAAACGTTACGCTGAAGATGAAAGATCATTTTACTGGTTATGAAATGTACGACCGATGTGATGCCTTCAGCATATACTACAAGCTTCATGGAGATGATCATGATGATCGCGACGACATTCCAGCAGGCAATCTTACTACCACCTGTTCACTTGTCAGATTGCCAATTGTATCAGTATCAAATAATGGTAATGTGTTCACAATGTTAAGTCCTGAATTTCAAGTAGAATGGAAACTGTCTGATGAGTGTTACGGCTGTCACTATAGTGGAGGTCAATGCCAGACTGATATTACCAACAAATTTCTTTGTCACACAGGTAGACATCTCCATTTTCAAGGTCAAGTTAACATTTCTTAAGGCCCTTTCTTATTCTATATAAACAAATCCATAATATGTCATAACATTATCCCTGTATTAAGAAGATGTGGAGGTTGAAGATTAGGATAGTAGGTTAGGTAGTCTAGATTATTCATATGGGTAGTGTTAGTACGTTATCTCGTATTTGGTTGGTAGTAGGCTCATTTGAATACTTGTCGATTTTTTTTTCCTTGCATTTCGATCATCTTACTATCTTGTTACGTATGCTGCTTTAACATGGTTTTCGGTTTTGTACCGTCTTGTTTTCTTGTTATTATTGGGGTACCTATGCTTGCCTGAGCTGAGGGTCTATTGGAAACAGTCTCTCTACCTCCACAAGGTAGGGGTAAGGTCTGCGTACACAATACCCTCCCCCGACCTCACTATGTGGGATTATACTGGGTATATTGACGTTGATGATGTTGATGTATTATCCCTGTATTAGATAGTAGAAAGTAATAACAGCGAAACTAAGTAATCGGATTGTATAAGAGAGGGATAACACTGGCGGAGCCACCTTATAGGAAGGGGTGTCAAATGACACCACTTTGCGGGAAAAATACACTGTGTAGGTAGGTAAAAAAAGTTTATATATATATATATACTATGTATTGACTCCCCTTAATTTTGTAGTATGTTTACTTTTATATATTTTGACACCCCTTAGCGAAAATTCTGGCTCCGCCACTGAGTAATAAGCGGGAGAAAATAGACAACCCTTGCTTGCCCCATCTTAGTTCAGGCCACACCTGGATTTACTTGTCCAAAGTCTTTTTTATGTGGAAAATCTTACTGACCTGAGCTGTCTTTCTACACACTGATATCCATGTTTGATTACAACTGCATAGGGACCAAAGCTTCAACCACTGTTTTTTTTTTTTTTTTTTTTTTGTGGATAAAGTAATAATTTTATTCATAATGGGGAAAACCCCGTATACAAAGCCAAAAACAACAACAAACTCAGTGTAATTCCACAAGTGGGTTCTGGGGAGGGTAGTGCATACGAAGACCTTACCCCTGCCTTTAAGAAGGCAGAGAGGTTGTTTCTGGTGGACCATCGGCTTAGGAAAGATAAAAGAAGGACAACAACAAGCAAACCAATCAAAAAACTGAAGCTAAAATACAAAACTAACACTAGGTAATGCAATCAGAAAACCGAAACCAAAGTAACAACAAGTAATAACAGAAGTCAAGGAGTACGAAAATACACAAATGACGCTAAGTAATGTACTAAAGCTACTGTTACAAATAAGGACAAAGCTCGGCTACCTATAAAAATCCGTATACCAAAAAAGTAGAGAACGTACACCGAAACATGATTCAAAGCTTCAACCACTGTTTCTGGATCAAATATACTTCCAGACTTCAAACTATCTATTTTCCTATTAAATGCTCATTCTTTTTCTATCATTAATACTCTTTTCGCTTAACCAGACAGAAGTTTAATAATCTGAAACTCACAAGTGTTAGTGTTGCAGATGTTAGCAATATAACAGCAGCAGGTACATCAAAAAGGGGTCACCTCCGGACACCCTGGTTCGTGGTAGCCACAGGTAAGTCATCTTTTCTTCTCTCGAAGAGTGACCGCGATATTTTCTCAGACACCTTTTTCTCCCTTTTGCTGTTTTGAATCTTTTTTCTTTTTTGAACATGTCTATAACACAGACTATATATTTCCCAAAGAGTGCTAAAGGAGTTTATGAATGAATCTATATTCTCTTATGGTCATGACTTCATTTTTGTCCACAGGTACATTGTTCTCTTGTATTGGACTGTTGGTTTTACTCTTCTACTTCAGGGAAAAGATTTTTTGGTACAAATACCTAAGATTTTGGGATTCTAATGCTGAGGATCACCAAAATATCGAAGCATTTTTAATGAATTATGGGTCGTATGCTCCAAGGAGATACAGCTATTCAGAAGTCAAAAGAATCACCAATCACTTCAAAAACAAACTAGGCCAAGGAGGATGTGGTAATGTATACAAAGGAAGATTGCATAACGGGAAGCATGTAGCAGTGAAGCTAACAAATCGAAAAGGCACTAGTGGTGAAGAATTCATTAACGAGGTTGCAAGTATTAGCAAGACATCACATGTTAACATCGTGAGCCTCGTGGGATTTTGTTTTGAGGGTCGCAGAAGAGCTCTCGTTTATGAATTCATGCCAAATGGATCTCTTGAAAAGTTTATCTATGAGGAAAGATCCAACAGAGTTCGCCAATTGGGCTGGCCAATATTGTACCAAATTGCACTAGGCATTGCTCGAGGATTGGAGTACTTGCATCGTGGTTGTACCACTCGGATATTGCATTTCGATATAAAGCCTCACAACATCCTACTTGATGACGATTTTTGTCCTAAGATTTCCGACTTTGGTTTAGCCAAACTTTGCATGAAAAAGGAGAGTGTCGTGTCAATGTTAGGTGCACGAGGGACTATTGGTTATATAGCTCCAGAAATTGTTTGCAGAAACTTGGGAGGTGTCTCTCACAAGTCTGATGTCTATAGCTACGGAATGATGGTCCTAGAGATGGTTGGAGGAAGAAAAAATGTTGATGTTGAAGTTGACCGTACAAGTGAAATCTACTTCCCACATTGGCTCTATCGACGAATTGAACTAGACGAAGAGCTCCAACTAATCGGGATAATGAATGAATCGGAGAAAGAATGCGCAAGAAAGATGATGTTAGTGAGTTTATGGTGCATACAGACTGATCCCTCGAATCGACCATCTATGACTAAAGTTGTGGAAATGTTAGAAGGAAACCAAGACTACTCTTTGCAAATACCTCCCAAGCCTTACCTATATCCTGCCTCAAGATCAGAGGTAAATTCATCAGTAGTAATAGAACCGGCCCAATCTTTATTTGTTGATATGTCAGCTAATATTTTGTATGAAATTTAAGTAAAAGTTGATAGAGTCTTTGAATTTGTGATGTACAACAAGTCCTGTTGTTTATGTACTTTGATTCAATACCAGCTTGGTGCTGTTTATAACTAAAAACTCCAACTTTCAAGTAAAAACTTAAACTTTTAGATGAGAAAATCGCATGATTCTACAAATCTTCAGCCGTTCTAAATTACCATAGTTATGTACAGCCAAACCTCTCTATAAGCACCTCGTTTGTTCCGGATATTTTTGGATGTTATAGCGAATTGTTGTTATAGAAAACATATATTTTATAATAGATTATGAGAGTTGGTTCTGAAAAAAATTGACTTTTATAGAAAAGTGTTGTTATATAAGTATAGTGTTATAGAGGGGTCTAATTGTAATACCCTATGGAAATAATTTGAGGATTTAAGGATCGTCTCATGCAAAGGATGTAACTGCATAGTGCCATTAAGAAGATCTAAGAACTGATTGATCAAGAAGCAAGTCTTCACATATCACAAAATTATAAGGGCAATTCAACCCCCTCCCCAAAATAATTAATAGGGCAAAGATCACTTTTAACCGCGCCGAAACTAGCCAAAGAAAAGTGCATAAAATTATATATTTTTTGTATATATATATATACATACATTTTTCGGCTATTATTTTAAGAGCAGCTATATAATACTATTCTTCCTAATAAATAAATATGAAAAGGACAAAATATTCACATTTGCCTAAATCTTGGAGGCAAAAGACACTAGGTGATTTCTTCTCATCTACCTAAGTCTTTTGGTGATTTGAGTTACTCGATACTTGTGCTGACGGGAGGAAACAGATACCTGATGGAAGAGTCGAGGTGTGCACAGGCAGGCCACGACACCACCGTCATAAAAAAAAAAAGGACAAAATATCTTCCAATTTTAATTCTCTTCCAATGTGAGGGTAGTTTACCTTGAAACCAGCTGTGAAGTTTCAGACTTTCGAGCTAGTTAAATGTAAGATCTTTAGTTAAGTGATTTTCTTTACTCGAGATGCTAAGATATAACACATGAGATTGGTGAATAAAATTGGAAAGATCTTATGTTCCTTGTTTTTTAAATTAAACACTATATTATAGAAATCCTTCAAATATACCCTTATGAGCCATAATTTTAATTTTCTTGCAATAATTTAATATGGAAAATATATCGCATAAGGAGTGCAAGTACAGAATTTTTATTTTATTTTAAAATTCAAAGGATATATAAAAAATTAAATCAAATTACAAGGGTATTTAGTGTAATTAACCTTCTTTTCTATTTAGATGGATCTTTTGATTTGGTGTTATTTGAGTAAATTGGTGATAAGGGATTACTTGTGTTTGGTATTTGGAAGTTTTGTTTCAAATTTGAGATCATTTGTAGCAAATTTTGGGTGGTTTGATCGAAACTGAAGTTGCAAATTCGAAAATATTTATTAAAATAACCCAAAAAAAAGGTATATCAATCAAATAGACGTCAAAACAACTTGATATATAGGTAGAGTAAACATAGTTTCAACTCTACCAACCCGATATAGAAATCCCTGAAGAGAAAAACCATGACAATTGGATAGACTTTGATGAACAACTTAATAGGTAGAGTTAATAATAAAATCAACTCTACCAATTCTGTAGAAAAATCCTGAAGAGCAAAAGTATGACAATTGGGTAGACTTCGATGAACAACTTAAGCCGGTAAATCCTTGAAGAATTGTGTGCGGGTCAATGCCATCAATTTTTGGAACATTCGGCTATGACCAGCCCCTCGCGGAGCCAGCACCAATACAAATTAATGGGCGTTTGGTGCATGTGGTAAGGATAATAATCACGGGATAAATTTGGGATTAACTTTATCCTATGGATAACTTTTATACTAAATAGTGGGACTAGTTATCTCATATAAAAGGTGGAATAACTAATCCCATATGATATTTCTACTATTATACCAAACAACCCCCAAGGCAACAACAAATTACCATGAAAGCCTCAGGGATTGTTACACAAATAGCCTGTTAGATTCATTGTTTACTTTTTCTAGCCGGTATACATAGATTATACATCGATTATACACAGTTATACACATATTATACATGAATTACACATATATTATGCATCTGCCAGCTATTATTTTTCTAAAAGATTAGGTGGGCGGCTATTTGGGTTCATTCTTCTTTTGTAAAATCTCAGGCCCAAAGGCAAGTATTTTGTCCAAGAACGGGTATAATTGGGCTAGTTGAGGCCCATTAATACTGTTGTCCAAGTTATGGTGTTTTCTTGGGTGATTTTTTAAAATAGCCAGATTTACAACTGGTCGTTCAAAAATAACCATAATTTCAAAAGTAATCGAATTTTAGCCACTTTTTATGTAAAGATAAATCTGAGCGAAAACACTGTTCAAAACCCGAAAAATACTCCAGTATATTATGCTGGAGTTCCAGCATAAGTATACTTGAACTCCCGCATATTATACTGGAGTTCCAGGATAGTATGCTGGAACTCCAGCATAATATGATGGAGTTCCATCATAAATACACTAGAACTCCAGCATAATATACTGGAGTTCCAGCAAGTATAATGGTCCAGTATAATATACTGGAGTTTGGAGCACTAGTGCTCCAGTCTCCAGTATATTATACTGGAGCCAGCAAAGTATACTGGTCCAGCATAATATGCTGGAGTTCATACACAAGTGCACCGAACTCCAGTATATTATGCTGGACCGGTCTTTATTGCAGCAAAACGGTGGCTATTTTTCATTGACTTGGTAAACGCTGGCTATTTTTGATTGACCAGTCCGAAAACTGGCTATACCGTGAAATTTTGGTTGTTTTCTTAAGTTCTCCAGAATATTTTCTTGCTATCAACTAGGAATTTAATGATCTCATCATTTTACTTGGATAGGTTAAATACAACTTTATTTACTACGAGAAAATAATCTCTCATGGCTAATTACAGGGGCGGCCCGATAACTTTTTTTTAAGATTTATTTATTTATTTATTTGAAGTCTATTTTTCTAATTTTTCTTAGATATATGGTTATTAATAATTTTCTTATAATCAATAATTCCTAATAAGCATTTCTCAATTGACAATATAACTAATCCACTTAATCTTTCTTGTGACATTGTTGATCTTAGGTAAGATTTTATCAATTTTTATTTTGATAACTTCTTTCCACTGAAGCAACGGTAACAAGGGTTATCAACATTATTCTATAAGCAAAATAGGCATTTGAAAAAAAAAATAAGTTCTTTTTATTTGATTAAGTGTATCAATTAAACTGCTATCTTCTAACTGTACTATTTTTTCTTAATACTTTTAATTCAGAAAATAAATATAAACCATCAATATCGAATTGATTATTATGCTTTAAGGAACATTCAAGATTAAGACAATATTTTTTAAAATTTTCATCATCTAGTGATCTTAGTTTTTACCGCTAAATAGAAAATCAAAAATATTTTTATATGCTTCGAATTGTTCACATCTATTTTGAAGTTAAAAAACAGCCTTGTCTACTATGTATAAAAGTAATCAATGGATAACGTAGGGGACATCTTTATTTTTTCTTAGGGGAATAATCTTTAGAATTCCCACAGCTTAGCTTTCAATTCGCCTCTGACCATAAAATGAAATGCGAATAACCCGTCCTCTAAAGGACTCTTCGAAAGATTTTGAAATTTCATTATCAACATTCTCATCAAATTATTACTTCCTATATATCACATGTTTCTTACGAAATTCGGTTTGGATATTCATTTCAGATGCAAATTCCTTGGCAAAAGTTATAGCAGTTGCAAATCTTTCTTTTCTATATTTGTTCAATAAAAAAACCAAACTTTTTTCACTTCATATAACTTTTTTTTTTTTAAATTTATACATAGCATATTCATGAAATTTTATATTTTCCTAAATATCAATAAATATTTCCCTTTCAATTGCTTTTGACGCTCCCCTTTAACTTTATGGAGCTAAATTCTTGAACAGTCCCCATCAAAATTGAAGGCTCCATTAGAATTAAAGGTTTCTTTATATTCAAAAGAAGTAAAGAAAAAGTATAGCATATACTATTAAAATAAAGTGATACATGGGAAATGTTGCATGAAATCAAGCAAATTATAGCATTGATTTGGCCCCACGTTGGAGACAAGAAGAGAAACAGAAGGTCATTATTTATATTCTTAGTAAAGTGTGAAAGACAAATTAAACAAATCATATAGCTAATCAAAGTCCCAAACTTTGCCTTTTGTCGTTAGACCAAATCATTAATCTTCTTCCTTTTAAACACAACTTGCACTTCCTAACAAGAGCGCTTACCTTTTCACTTTTGATTAATTGTACTTCTCTTCGTTTTTTTTTCTTTACCACAATATTCAAGAGTAGTGGTGGCAAAATGGTTAAAAAAATATATTTATCCACCTATATTATCCATTAAAAATGAGTTGAATAATGAACTTTTTAAAACCGGTTCAAATATGGATAAGAACCATATTATCCACTTAGAAAATAGATAACCAATGAATTTAACTTTTATATTTGTAAAGCATCAAATATGGGACAGGTTAGATCGGATAATTTATCCATTACACGTTGTCGATACGTCCATATCCCACTGGACCCGTCCATTTGCCGCCCCTAATCAAGAGTAATTGCAAAATGATCTTTAGCAGATAATACATTCCATATGTTAACACTTTCAATATTTACCTTCATCGAGTGTTAATATCAAACTGTAACCTTAAAAGTTAAAAATTAAAGTAACAATACATAGTATCATTTAACTATAGTTAGGAGATAACTACATGTACGTGAAATTCCAAGATTTTTTTGGAATTTTACTAAAATTTGATTTGAAAATGAAGTTGTGTTTGGCTATAATTCTTACAACATATCTGGATGTACTTCTTTCAAAACCGTGAAACATGATTTATACCCCATAATCTGTAAAACATATCAAAATCATCCCGACTTGATTATCCTACTTGAAACAAACAATCAAACATGCTGA